CTCGTCTAACCTGCCTACAACCACTGCACTTGTGGTTTCTTCAACCTTTTCCTCCATGTCGCCTTGGCTCAGTTCAGATCCGGTCTTCAAGTTCACATTAGCCGAAGCAAAGATGTTGGCTGTCGACTCAGAGAAGAGTTGTTCTCCGGCGAGTGTTGAAGCACGTCGGAGTCGGTGACGGTTGTAGGCTCTGGCTCCGCTGGCAGGTAGACAGGCGGACTGACGTTTTTGAGGCGTGTCTACGACAGCCTGGCCCGGCCCTCCGGTCGGCTTGTCTCTGAGGCTGAGGGAATTAAAGAAGGCCAGAAAATTGGGATCCTGTCGAGAAAAGAAGGGATTAATTAAAAAACACTATCACATTTTTTGTCAACACTCTGGATAAGCTAATCATCCGGTGGGTTCATTCAACTCGGATTTGGTATCAAAATAAAACAGAGGAGAATTAAATAGGATCATCCCTCACCTTTCTATGATGTACAGTAGTTAAGCCTGAATATGAATGAATTGAGTAGTGGTATGCTTTTATAATTGAAGCCGGTGAAAATATGGAATATTTTGAGTTTCATTCGCAACTCGAATGGTAAATCACAAATGCTTCAGGCAAAGAAGAGCCAGTCAGGAAAAAGACTTTTGGAGGAATGCGCAGACAGAAAAGGAAGAATAATAAGTATGGATGTGATCTGACCTCGTTTTGGAAACCTGATCGTATTGTCAGGGTGCCCTAGTTGGACGCACCTTGTCCAAAGTCCTCTGTTGTAGTAAATATAATAATTCCCAATGTTTGACTGTGGATTTGGTACATTCTCAGACATTTTTGCATAGCATCGTCAGTCAGTCTTGTGATTATCCGCACTAAGCTACAAGTCATAAAAGCAACATGTGAAGTCATTTCCTTGATCAACTTTCTGTCCTAGCACCTCCATCTACTCTCTATCCTCTTTATCTCACTCCAGTCCAATCACAAATTCTCACTTGTTTATATTTCACTCTTCAAAAAGTGTACTCTTCTTGCTCAATTTAGTGTGGCGTCATCACACCTGCTGTTTATCTTGACACCGTTTCCTCTCAGTTTCCTATTCGGGTCACCGTCATGGGCCCTAATATCAGTTTTTAATCTTGCCTAATAAACTGATTTCATTCGGTTCCCTTACCAGGTCGTTATTTATCAAGCCTTTTATTCCCTGTTTCGCGAATATTTTTTTTCATGCTATGCTATAAACTCCCAAGTAATCCAATTTGTCTAAACTCTGATGTTGCCTTGGCAAACTTGTGAAGAGGATAGTTTTTTTTACTCAATGATCACCTGAGTATTCCATTTTCTTAATATTGGCCATATCTCTTAAGGTAGATTATCGGATATTTTGTGAGTTTTTCCCTATACCTGCTTTCTTTCATAATCCTCATCAAGCCATTGGCTTTCCACAGTTTGTATATTTCTTTATATTACTTCCCTCAGGTTATCCTTTGTCTAGTAATATCCGAGACAATTTCTCCAATTAAAATCCCAAAATTCCACATCCGTCATTCATAGTCTTCTCATGATCATGCTCCTCATTATTCTGGCCTTTAGTCCGAAGTTGAGATGAGACACGAAATTTACTATCATTCCGACATAGGACTTCTTTTTTAACAACTTTCTTTCAAGCGTCCAATTCGAGAAAATGACCTCAACATCCAAGAAAGCTAAATTCCCCTCCTTTTCCATTTATATTGTGAACTTGATTCCTTCATCAAGCTGGTTTATAGATTTCAGAAAATGCTCCAATCTTGTCTTCCATGCACCGGAGTGTGAAGTAGCTATCCAGATTCCACATGAGCATTCTTGGTAACATCATTGATGTCTTGAAATCCACTTCTTTTTTTTCGTGTATACGTTTGCCAATAGAGGTTGGAATGGTAATCACAGTGAAAGTCCAAATATGTGCTCATACATGTTTCCATTAAATGTGATGTAACAGGCATTGTAAAGTTGATTAGTCGTGTTAACAAGTCTCTCCTGATCCTCTCTGCTTCAAAGCTTTCCTCTCCTCGTTTCTTTACTGCATAGATGTTTGTTAAGAAAGCTTGTGCAGCAAAACTTACCAAAAATTCAATTTCTTTTGAGAAAATTCATATGAAAGTTTCATTGTGTTTGATGACCTGTCGTTTAGGTTCTTCAGTTTATAACATATGAACTTTGCCAATTTGTGTGTTACTCTATAATTGCGTTTGCCTATGAGCCTTACTCGTTCTTTTATTTGCATTTCTTCGGTAATTCCTAGGCTGTTGCTGGTCTGCATCCTTTCTTATTAGTTAATTTTTCATCCATCAGTCGATTCTCATGTCATGTAATGTTCCATTGTTCTTGACAGTGCAGTCCTACTTTAGTGCACAATACGTCGTCCTGTCTCGTAGTATCGTCTGCGTATTATTTCCTGTCTTTAGAAGAGTTGTTACTTAGTACTGAGTATGATATGACTCGCAGACGATGCCTGGTGAACCTCCGAGATGATAAAAAGTCCATGATGAATTATGACAGCTAATTGGGCAGATGACTTCGGACAAGCTACGTCCAACTATGAATAAAAGCTGGGTTTCGAAAAATTCCCTAATGAAATGTGGTGGCATGACTAAAGGAAAGGGAAAGCTGGTTGGAGGTAATTCGTGGTCTCATCGTAAACTCAAGGAGGATTGTCTCGTAAGGAAGACGGTTGAATTGTGCAAAGAAGTCCACGCTCAACGTCCTAGGAGCCCGATAAAACTGTGCTATGCTTTCGTTTGTTCTGTGACAGACATCCTCAGAGCAAAATGCCATACTTTACGAAATAATATATAAAAAATATAATAATAATAATATAATAAGCGATCTTAATGAGGCCTCACCTGATTCATTTTGCTACTTCAACCTTACTCTAAATGCTTGCAAATGAGTGAAATTAACTTTCAGAACCAGAAATGTATTTGGTGGCTAATATTTCATCACACATAATCTAGCGTACGATTGCCTAATGCTGAATCATGTTTAGAATTGTGCTATTGTCTTTTGTGTGTATGTATTGGTCACGTCATGTGTAGTATGATAATCCTAGAGGCGAGGCTAGTAGAAGCCACAATATCATGTTCTGAATATCTAATAGTTTTTATAACTGAAATGTATTTAACCTATTTTGTTAAAAAGTAAATGCATATTATATAACTGATTTACTGGTAGTCTCAAGACTACTTATACACGAAAAATAAGATGCAAGTTATTTGTTTAGGAAAAGATTAAGGATTCATATAAAAATGAAATATAAAGACTTTGTTAGAAAGGAAGATGGCATAACATAAGATAAAATAAGGCTAAATAGTTAAAAAAAATAACATTGCACAATTGTCAAATTATGATAATGATTTCAATTGAGATAAAATGAACGGAAATTATTTGAGATAACAAGTTTTTCTCTGAGTTAATTCTAGCTATGATAAAGTTATTAATCTCTTTCTGCACCATCATTCATTTTTCACTCACCCCTTTAATCAATCGATCCACTTCCTCTATGTGATACTTTAGTTCGCCTATCGCCAATGTCAATTCAGCCTCTCTGAATTTCGCGGCTCCAAGTTCGGATTGCAGCATCAGAATTTCACTGTTTGGATTCGAATCGTGGGTCTCGGAACGTTCCTAAGGAAGAAATCAATGTTTACTTGCTTAGTATTCATACATTAATGCGATTTTTTGTTTATGTATTTATTAATAGGAAGTTTTTGATTAACTACAACTAGAATCTTTATGATTATAATTTACTCATCTTTTCGTATGTTTTCCACAATGATTATGAATGAACATTATTTATTTAAGTATATGTTTGAGATCTATTCACCCTATTTCGTTGAAGGTGATCAAGGCTCTAAATTCTACTTACATATAAAAAATAAGTAACGTAGTCGATTGTAATAGCAAAAATAAGTTTGCTTCATCAAAAATCCCAAATCTGCTCTGTGACCCAAGGAAACTCGTTGCAATATGGTCGAGTGGTTAATGTGTCAACCTCCAATTGTGCACTGTCACGGTTCGACTCCCGCTGTGGGTGTTGATAAGACCTATGCGAAGTCAAAACTTTTTGGAAGGCA